CCTGCCAGCAGCTGCCGGCGCGCTCCAGGGCTCCGGACCGCAGGCACGGCCCTGCCGTGCGGGGGCGCTCGGGCGGCGGGCGCCCGGCTCTGGGCACCCGGGGAGGGGCAGGAGCCAGTGGCTATGGATCCAGGGATCTCAGGATCGGGAATCTGGTACGGGAGCTGGAAATCCAGACTCGGCCAGAGGTCCTGTTCCGGGAATCTGGAGCCCAGGGCGAAATCCGGGGTGGGACTTGCAAGGTCCTGAGGATCTGAAGTCGGGAATTGGGTCCCGGGAATCGGGGACATCCAGTGATCCGCGGCTCAGAGTCACGTAAAGGATCCCGGGAATCGGTCCGAGCGTGTCCACCACCCGGACTCCGCAGGAAAGAGTCGGCCGTCGCTCTCCCCTGCCCTCACATGTAAGCCGGGCCCAGCCCTTTCCCGGCCGACTGGGAAAGCTCCACCCTCGGCCCTGGGGCAGAGCCGCTCCCTAGCGGCCCCGGGACTTGGCCTCTCCCCTCCCTCCTCTCCAGGCAGAACCACCGAGACTGGCGGCTTCCGGAACAGCCTGCGCCCCTGGGCAGACCAACCGGTGTGGACGGCTCAGCGCAGGCGCCTGTAAGATGCGTGCCCAGGCCAGGGCAAGGGGGGAGGTGTGAACTGCAGCACCTGCCCCGCAGGGATCTGTTGAATGAGTGGATCTCCAGAGACATCAGGGTATGCAGAACACAGTGAAGAGCCTACATCCTCCGGGGCCCTGCTGTGCAGGCAGGGAGGGACTAGAAACGGGGAAGCCTGCTTCCTGGCCTGCCAGGAACATGGTACTTGGCATCTGAGCCCAGGCCTTTGCCCTTTCTCCAGGGGGCTGCTTTCCCCAGAATCTAACCTGCTGTGGAGCCTTGCTGACCTCTGACCTCCACCCAAACATGACCACGGGACCTGAATCCCCACACAAATGTTTCTCCACCTGTCTGAAGAAGAACCAGAAATCTCAGCCCTTGAGCTACCACAACTGCACAGCCCCCCAAATCCCTAACCTTCCAGTGTGAGCTAGTGAGGCAGCAGTCTGATGTAAACCTCAGTGGGTTCTGGAATCAGGAGCTGGGGATTTAGGGAGTCTCCAAGACCACTCAGCAAGCCCAGAACTACCTGTAAGACTGCAGTTACCATAGTCTTAACTGTGTGTTGCTCTGCCACTTTTTAGAATGTGACGCTAGCAAGGTAACTGCTGGATAACTGTTACCCTGTGGAAGAAAAATGCACCTTCCCTGGCTTGACTCTGAGTTCAAACCAGCCCCGAATGGGACAGGCAAGAAGTAGTAGAGAATGAGAACTTGGCTCACAAAAGAGGCAGGGGTGGAGAACAGATGACTTAGAAGGCCCAGGCATGGGTCAACAGGGTGAGATGCTGCACAGTGTTCCCACAAAACCATCTACCTGTAGGACCTGGAGGACACCAGGGGGCTGTCAGTGGATGCTCGAATCCTTCCAAGTCCTCCACTACATGCTCCTCTGCCCTTGGCTTGCACACCTCCAGAGATGGAAGCCTCGCTACCTTCCGAGGCCAACCCTTCCATCTTCCTGACTAGAAGGTCTTCCTTGAAGGGAGCTGAACCCTGTGTCTCTGCTCTGCCCTCCTGAGTTTTTCCCAGTAACTGGGAGAGTCTTACAAGTCAGGAAAGGTTTAAAGTGACCTTATTTTTAAATGTGGGCAGGAGAGCAGTTAGCAATGGGGAGAGTAGCCAAGGTCCAGAAGCTGTACGGGAGAGATAAAGAGGACCGGCTGCCAGGGTATCCTAGTGAGCATCTTGTGAACCTTGCGGTAAGGGTGGCCCACGCCCTGGCCTGAGGCCCAGTCGATGCCATACTTGGGAGCCGTGGCCTCAGACACTGCGTAGCGTCCACTGAAGTTGGACTGGTAGCGTGATCCGTCCCACACGCCACCGTGGACAATCAGCGCAGTTGCTCTTGCTCCGCATGGTGGTCCACATCGTAGGTGGTAAAGGGCTTCCCGTTGTGGAAGCTCAGGGAGTCCCCTGGCCGGGAGGGGATGGAGGCACCCTGGAGCGGGACACCATGCCTGGCACCCTTGGAGAGATGATCTCACAGGAGCCTCAGAGCAACTGTGAGGGGGATGTTAGCAGATCCCAGGAGAAAATAGCAGCACCAAGGAGGCAGAAGGCCTCAGAGTGGGCAAAAGTGCAGTTGCCAATAAAGTCCTCCAGCTCCACCCACCCCACCCCCCACCCCCCGCGGCTCCTAGGTACCTGGGGGGAAGGGGGAGGCAGGGATGGAGGAATCCTCAGATCCCACGGTGGGGATTCAGAGTGCCAGCGAAATGCCCCTCCCAGGCCCCTGGGGCCCTGGGGGGAACTTACCCGGAAGAGCAAGAGCGAGCTGGTGCAAATTCTCATTCCCCAGCCAGAATTCGGACTCCAGCTCCCAAAACCGGCTTTGTAAGAGGACCAAGAGCAGAATAAACCCACAGAACCATCCTATTGCTTTTGGAACACTTGGGGAGGCAGAGAAGGCCAGCACAGGAGACAGGGAGAAGCAGAGGGCAGGTCAACAGAGAGAGGGCGCACTGTGAGGGGTGGGCAGACACCTGCCCCCTCTTTGAATTGGGGGCTTGTTGATAACGTGTGAGTCCGAGTGATCTTTGCCTGTAAATAGTGATGAACTCCACATTCCCTTACTAACTTCTGCTGACCATCCCCCTCCTGCCGAAGCCTGACAAGTCCCAGGGTGACTGAAATGAGAGAAACATGGGGCCTGCCCTTGGAGGATGGTCAGTCCTGCTGGGAGTCAGATCAAAACAACCTGCTCTAATTTACTAGAAGAATCAAGATATTAGAGCAGAGAGGTCACCTCCAGAGTCCCAGGCTCAAGTCCTGGCCTTACCCTGACGTCCCCCACCTCCCACAGCAAGCCAAGCAGTCCCCAGGCCCTACAGAGTTTCTCTCCTCAATATCCTTCAGTCTAAGGGCCTCTCCTTCCCTGGTGACCTGGACCCCTGCCGTCCTCCTAACCTGTGTCCCTGCCTCCATCCTATCCCCCACCGCAGTGCACCTTCCATGGTTCAGCCCAAGTCTTTTTCCTAAAACATAAGTCTGACCGGGCCCCTCCTCTGTTTACAATGTTCCATGGCTCTCCATCGCCTCCCATGCTCCTCAGTCAGCCATTCCGTGCCCTCCATGAACTGGCTTCTGCAGAGGCCCTTAATCCATGCTTGACCTACACCAGTCCATCACCAACACCCCTGACCTCTTTTTTTTTTTTTTAAGGAGGTTTTTTTTTTTTTTAAGATTTTATTTATCTATTCGACAGAGAGAGACACAGCGAGAGAGGGAACACAAGCAGGGGGAGTGGGAGAGGGAGAAGCAGGCTCCCTGCGGAGCAGGGAACCCGATGTGGGGCTCAATCCCAGGACCCTGGGATCATGACCTGAGCCGAAGGCAGACGCTCAACGACTGAGCCACCCAGGCGCCCCCACCCCTGACCTCTTATCTTTCCTCAACTCATTCACACGATCTCCTCAAACCCTCTCGTCCTCTCCTGCCTCCCTGTGTGTTTGTCTTTCCAGCTACCTGGAATGCCCTTCAGCCCCCATCTATCTAGAGAACTTCTACACAGCCTTCAAGGCCCTTTCAAATGGCATCTCCTCTGTGAAGCCTTCACAGACTTCTTCAGGCCCTCTGGGAGCTCAGTAAACGTTTGCCGGTGAGGGGCTGGGAGAGAGGCCTTGGCTCCAGTGGGCTCTGGCTCCCCCTAGGGGCCAAGAGGAAAAGTGTCCGCTGGGCCTGGCCTCGGAGCCCTTTGAGCCTCCCTGACAGTCACCAGCCAGCCGACTTCTTTGGTGTCCTTGTCACAACAAGCCAGAAGGCTCTGCCCTCGAGTAGGCATCGACAGCACCAGCCACTCAACGTGGCACGCCGGCTCAGCAGCTCCTGGCAGCTTCTGGGGCCTACAGAAGGGGAGATGGGCTGAGGGGAGTTGCCAAGGGGGGTTGCCAACCCTCACCCTGCAGGCAATGGAACAGGCCAAGGGTGGGACCCCCAGGAGCCCTCTCAGCTCCATCGGGCCCCTGAAGAGAGGCTCTACGGAGGGCTGGGCCATGTCTGGCGGCCGATCGACACCCCAGCACCACCTGATGCCAAGTTCCTGGCTCCTGTGAAGGCTGCCTCCTGGAACCACAGTAGGGGCACTGGATCTCCTGACCCAGGAAAAGACAGAGTGTTGGCTCTGAGGTCTGAGTACTTCCAAGGCCCACAAACCAGAGGGGAGGTGCCCAGGCCCCTCTCCTAATCCCCCCAACCTTCCATCCCCCCACGGTGGATTGCTCAACAGCAGCCGAGCAGAGACACCCCTCTCTAGTCCTGGGGACAGAAGCAAAGAAAGCAGAGGATACCCATGGTCCCACACACTCAGCAGGCTCACCCTTGGGGCCCATCTTGCCAGGTGGTCCAGGTTGCCCTGAAATCCCAGAGGTCAAGGTGCCTTAAGTCTCACCCCGTGCCCAGAGCAATGAGGGACTCGAAGCCAGAAGTCAGATCCCAGCTGCACTCCTTACTGGCTCTGTGATCGTGAGCACCCAGCTTATCGTCCCTGGGCCTGACTTTCCCGCTTAGCAAAATGGGATAGAACCAGCTACCTCACAGAGTCAACCTTAACACACACTAGGTTCCTTGCCCCTTGGTCATGGCCTCTCAGCTTAGACAGTAATCACTGCATCCCCAGCCTACCCACTTCACTCCAGGTCCCTGACCGCTTCCTGGCATCCCTGACTTTGAGGACCTGTAGCTCCTTTCTCTCCACAACTTCCTGGGGCTCCAGGACAACTGGGCAGGAGGACAATTTTGCTGGCTTCCGGTTCCCTGGGTTCTGCAGGAAGATGCAGGGCTGGGTGGCCACAGGGTGGGCATGGGGGAGTGGGCATATCTCCTCCAGACCCCTTTGTGGTTCTCTTTCCATCTCCCAGATTCCAGCTGTCAGGACCCTTACCTCCAGAGCTGCCAAGGGTCAAGGGTTGGCACCATTTGCATCTATTTGCATAAATTTACAGTGCAGAGCCCAGATGATCAAACTCCCACCCCGCTCCTTGAGGCTAATGCGCCTGGGTGGGAGAAGGACACCCAGGGAAGGAGTGAGGGTTGGTGGGGAGGGCAACCTAGACCCTGGGCAGCTGGGGTGGCCCTGGGTCCTCAGGCAGGCCAGCTTCCCAAGGAAGAGGAGCAAAAAGGTAGAATGAGGGTGCCTGGGTGGCTCAGTTGGTTAAGCGACTGCCTTCGGCTCAGGTCATGATCATGGAGTCCCGGGATCGGGTCCCGCATCAGGCTCCCTGCTCAGCAGGGAGTCTGCTTCTCCCTCTGACCCTCCCCCCTCTCATGCTCTCTCTATCTCATTCTCTCTCTCAAACAAATAAATAAAATCTTAAAAAAAAAAAAAGGTAGAATGGGGTCCATAGTAGGCCCATCTTGCTGGTGCCCTGAGGGAAGATGCCAGTTTATAAAGGGGCCAGGCTGATGGGAGAACATGAAGCCTGACTCCCGAGGGACATCGCACCCAGGCTAGAATCAGCAGAGGGTAGAGGCATTTCCTCCCTCAGCCCTGGAGGCTGGGATGGAGTCCGACTTCTGATCCTGGTCTCTGGGGCTCTGCAGCCATCTCTCCAGACCTCTGGATTCGCATAGGGCTTTCCGCCTTTGCCCCTCTGCTTGTTCTGTGCCTTCCGTGTGGGATACTCTCCTCTCCATCTCTCCCTGCGAAGCCCCACCTGTGTGTGGAGGTCCAGGCCTCCCGCCACCTCCTGCAGGGATCCCTCCCTGGTCCTTGTCAAGTGTTATGACCACGGCTACCATCCGTTGGGCACCTGCCGCATTCCACTAGTCCTGCTGGGTGTGGTTTGTGTGTGGCCTCTGGTCCTACGCAGCCCGGCTCGTAGGCATTATTGGCCCTGGGTTATGGGGCTGGCACAAAGCGGACATTCAATAAACATTGGTTCAATGAATGAATAAACAAGAAGAAACCGAGGCCCAGAGACAGAACATGGCTTGTTCACTCTCTGGCACCTCTATGCCCAGAGCCACAGAGATTTTGCCCAAACTCCCCACCAGGGAGACACACTCTCGGCAAAGTGACTTCATGCCCACTCTCAAGTCTGTTGGGGAGACCCTGACAGCACCTAGGAAATAGTTGCTAATATAGGCAGGCCATTGAGTCAGCGACTGTGCCCGGCAGGCCTCGAGGCTAGGAGGCCAGGGAGGAGGCAACAGCCACAGTCCAGATGTGAGGGTTGAGGTCTGAGCTGGGGAGAATCCTCAGGGGATAGCAAAGGAGAGGGAAGGCTCATTTGCTTGTTTGTGCACTCAACCATTCACTTGGCCATTTGTTCATCAAGCCTTCCCTGAAGGCCTTCTCTATCCAGGCCCAGTGCTCGTGGGGGCCGGGAGGGAGGCGGTAGCAGGGGGTGTCAGGAAGGCAGAGGCCGAGTGTGCCAGACAGGATGGATGCGTGAGATGGACTCTCTGAGATCGTGAAATTTCAATTCCAGGGATCTCTCCTCCCCAAACTCTCCCACAGGTGTGCCAAGATCTACAGACAAGCTTAGTTATCATGTGCTTTTTTTTTTTTTAAAGATTTATTTATTTGAGAGAGAGAGAGAGCATGAGCGGGAGGGGCAGAGGGAGAGGGAGAGAGAATCTCAAGCAGAATGAGTGTGCAGCCAGAGGTGGGGCTTAATCTCACGACCCTGAGATCACGACCTCAGCCAAAAGCAAGAGTTCGATGTTTAACCAACTGCACCACCTAGGCGCCCACCATGTGTTACTTATAATAATTTTTTTTTAATGGGGCACCTGACGGGCTCAGTTGGTGCAACTCATGTGACTCTTGATCTTGGCCTCGTGAGTTTGAGCCCCACGTTGGGCATAGAGATTACTTAATTTAAAAAAAAATTATGTGCTGTTTATAATAATCAACAAGGAGATGCCTGGGTGCCTCAGTCAGTTAAGTGTGTGACTTCGGCTCAGGTCACGATCTCAGGGTCCTGGGATCCCCACTCAATGGGGAGTCTGCTTATCCCTCTCCCTATGCCTCTCCCCCAGCTTGTGCTAATAAAGTCTTTAAAAAAAAATCAACATGGAAGTGACCCAACTGAACATTGATAGGATCCTGGCAAATAAAATATCACCATCTGGACAAGTCATAGGGCAAATCTGAGCTCTAATGAAAGGGACAAAGTTGCGGAACAATATGTATAGCCCAATCCCAACTTTGTATTTTAAGAACACTGAATGTGTGTATGTATGTTGTAAATTTACAAAAAGAGTCTGAAACATATTGTTAAGCATAGTTATTTCTGGGGAGTGGGGCCCAGGGAAAGTGTTCCTCACTCTTCATATCCATTTCTGTATAGACCTTGTGTTCCCTACAGGCATTTACTACTTTGGAAAAAGCAAACATCTGATAAAGAAAGGTCCTTAACTGAGTGGAAAACCAGAAGGAGGTGGGGGCATTTCTTCCCTCAGCCCTGGAAAAATGGGCATTCTCCCCACCTGAACTTAAGTGCTGGGTGGGGAAGCCGGGGAGGGGGAACCAGGCAGGAGATACTGCGTGTGCAAAGGCTCGGAGAAGAGAGAAAGCGAGACAGGCTGGGTAGCAAGAGGGAGATCCAAGTATCGAGAGAGGGGTGCTCGAAGGGGAGGCTGATGCCTGAGATGGGGGCTCTGATGGGGGTGGGCGGGGAGGGGTGAGGAGGTGGACTCTTTGCATGGTGGTGGCAGCGCAAGTGAGCTGGGGGGCCGAGGAGTAGCCGGAGCTGCTTGTGGGCCCCGCGTCCCCCAGAGCCCCCCCAGAGCCCATCCAGCTGGAGGGCAGGGAGGCTGGGCCTGGGGGAGGCAGAAGCCAAAGGCTGTGCAGGCTACACAGCTGGAAGGGTGATGCCTGCCCTGGATGTGGATGGAGCACGTGCACCTGCTCTGAGTCTGCCCCACGTGCCACCGAGATGGACACTGCTGTCACCCGACTTTACAGATGGGGAAGCAGAGCCAGAGCTGGGAAATCACTTCCCCCCCGTTCACACAGAGCAGTCGGGCTCCCCAGGCTGACCTCACGGCTGCCACCGCGACCTTCTATGGCCCCTCTGCCTCCTCGGACAATCATGGGATGAAATCAGATAACGCTGTCACTCTTAGCCTCACGCCCCGTTTCCAGCAGTGCGCAGCAGTGGGGGGTGTTCTCAGTCAGGGAAGACTTCTGGGCGGGGGCGGGGGCTGGGGGAAGAGGTGGGCATGGGAGGGCAGGGGCTTTCCGGGCGGGCCTGAGTGAGGAAGGCCAGAAGTGCAGAAATGGCTGTGAGTCCTAGGGGCATCTCCCCCTTGGCATTGGGGTGGAGACCTAACTTTAGGAGCCGAGAGAGCCTGGAGATGCCTCTACAGGAGAATTGAACTTCTGCTTATTCTGGAGTCAGAAAAACCTGGATTCAAATCCTAGCCCTGCCCCGTCCCACTGGGTGATCTTGAGCAAGTGTACTTACCTTTCTGAGTCTCCACAGACTGATCTGTAAAGGGCTGGGGGGCAGGGGGATGGGGAGCGTTAAACACGTATAACAAACGAAAATATTTTAAAAGGTGATGGGGCGGCTCCGTCGGTTAAGCGGTTAAGCAGTTAAGCATCTGCCTTCCGCTCAGGCCATGATCCTGGGATCCTGGGATGAGTCCTGCATCAGGCTCCCTGCTGGGGGCGGGGGGGGCCTGCTTCTCCCTCTCCCTCCCCTGCTGCTCCCCCTGCTTGCGCTCTCTCTCTCTGTCAAATAAATAAATAAAATCTTAAAAAAAAAAAGTGATAGTAGCAATCCAAGGCTGAGTTCCCATTAAGGAGAGGACGATGGCTATACCCCACCCCCCACAGATCCACACACAGCCCAAGACACAGGACATGAAGCACAGTGCTGGAAAGAGTTCTTTTATTTGGGGGCAGTGCCAGGCCAGGTGGGTGGGAAGGGGCAGGCACAGACCCCGTGCCAGGCAGGGGGCCTGCAGGCATGATGGATAAGACAGGAAGTGGTCGAAGAATGCTCTCAGCTGCAGGTACCAGGCCCGGGACAGGAAGCACGAGCCTGCTTGATAGCCCACAGGGGCCAGACATTGGTGGCCAAAGTTTTTCCCACCCCCAGTGCCTACAAGGGGGCCAAGAGGGCAGCCTCTTCGTCCTCCTTCCCCTGCGGAATCCAGGCCTGAAGGGGGGTCAGATTCTGCAGAGGCCAGACAGAGAGGGCACTCAGGGCAGTGGCCCTGCCTAGCTGGGCTCAGGACCCCCACCCCCAGACAGCAGGCAGTGGCCGGAAGCACACACTTTGAGGGAGGCTGCAGCGACCCGCCCCACCGCACACACGGCACACGGGGGCCTCAGGGCAGCTCCCCTTCCTAGAGGAAAACCAGCCACAGAGCCACAAAACGAAGGCTTGCCTGGGCTATTACCTACTGGCTCTCCTCCCTGCTGGCAGCATGAGGGACAAAGACAGGTCGGCTCAGCTGGGCTCTCAGACACGGGCCCAGGCTGAGTCCTGGCCCCAGCCAACAGGGGGCAGAGAGAACCCCACGCGTTGAGGAGGGAGAAGTGTGGCTCACATGGGTGACGTCAGAAGGAAGACATTGCCCTTAGGGCCGCCCCATTGAGAAGACAGTGCACTGGCACTAAAAGGGACCCAAAGGGCAAGAGTGGGGTGGGGAAAGTGAGCTGGGACTCCGCTGGCTGGCCAGGTACTCACAGTGTCTGGTAGGTGCTGTCCTTGGCCTTGAGGAAGCGTAAGACGAAGAAGGCCGCTGCCTGCAGGCTCAGCACCAGCACAACGCCCCCAATGAAGCTGGCCCCGTCAAAGCCAGGGCTGTGGGCTTCGGGAACTGGGGGGCTCCCTGCAGGGTGCAGGTCACAGCGGGTTGCTGTGGACCAGGATCCCAACCCCACCCCAATAACCAGCACAGGTTACCTGGAGGCCCCAGTCCTCACAATGAGAGCCTTGACCAGCAGGCTCAGAAGTTCAGCCCAGATCCTGTGGGCAGTGGGAAGCGCCCGGTGGGACAGGGGTGGGCCTGGCTAGGGGGGCGGCGGGGGGGCGGGGCTAGGCTCCAGCCCTGGCTCTGCTCCCGGTTGCTCTGTGGCTTGATGTCTTTCACATCCTCTCTGGGCTCAGGACTGCATGGTCCTGAGAGCGATGAGCTCCCTTCTAGCCTCCCTATCCCACACTGGCCCACTAGGGTGAGGATGGACCCAGAAGCTGGGCCTCTGACCCCTTCGGCTCAGAGCTTCTTTTGGCCTTGGGTCTCAGGGTTCAAAGCCCAGATGCAGATGATATCGTCCCTTTTCAGGACTCCTGAGTCCCGAGACCCTGGAGTCACCCGACGTCAGAGCCCTTAGAGAAGGAAGAAGTGGAGGCTCACACCCTATCAAGTGGATGAATGGAGACTAGGTGATGTGTGTCAGAGGGAGAAGCTGGGTTCTGAGGACCAGACCTGTCCAAAGTCACCTCACAGTTAAGACAGAGCCAGTCACACAGCACTCCCTGACTCTTTCCACCCTCCCACCCCCCCATCTCAGGGCCCATGGTTGCCAGGCTGTCGGGGTGACTCCCAGCTGTGCCACGTTAGCCATCAACCCCCACTAGGGTTTCTATTTCAGGCCCTAGGCCAGGTGCCAGGGCAGGGCAGGGCTGGTGGCAGAAGATCATTCTGGGGCAGTGGAGAGGAGCCCAGCTGGGAGCCAGGTCTACTTCTCGGAGGGTATAGCTTGTGTAGGCGGGTCTGAGAATATGAAAGGCAAAGGGTGGTCCCAGCTACAGCTCAGGGAGCCCCAGAGAAGGACACTGGGGGAAAAGGAGGAGAGGGAAGAAATGAGCTACCCAAGACTGATCTGGGGCTCAGCCAGAAGGAGCTGAGCCATCAGTAATTCAGCCTCTAAGATCAAGTTTCTGGCTTTAATTAACCAAAGCCTCTGCAGCCATCCCTACCAAGCCTGGTGACCTCCAGGCCCTGAGAGGCAGTGGGAATCAAGGGGCAGAGTTCTTGCTTCTGCTCTGCCAGGAGCCTGCCTTGGTAGTTGCTGAGTACACCTCATTGGCGACCTGAGCCATCCATACACGCTTCAGCACCGAGGGCAGGTCCTGAGAGGGTCAGCCTGAGCTCCCAGAACTGGTGTTGGGGACAAGGGACAGGAACCATCATTTCCTGATCACTTTCTATGCATCAGACACTGAACTAGGCTCTATACACCTGCTCATAAAATCCTCACAGCAACCCATTTTACAGGTGTGGGAACAGTCTCAGCAGGAGAGGTCACAGAGCTGAGGTCACAGGCAGGTCAGTGCCTGAGCCCAGCTGTCTTTGCTGGCACCTCTAGTCCTCCCACCACTCCCATTCCCCCAGGTAGCACCTACCTGTTGTGACTGTCTTTGGTTCATAGGTGGGGTAGTGGTGGGCAGCTGGAAAGACAGGGAATCCATGCTAAATCAGCCCTCCCACTCCCTGACTCCCACCAAGACCCCAGCCCAGGCCACCAGCTGGACTTCTGACTCAGATCAGGCCCCCTGTTCCAGGTCCAGCTTTCAAGCCTTAGTTCATACGGTTCCTTCCACCAGATGTGCCCTCTCTCCATCTCTACCTTTAAGGGTCATCTCTGATGACACCTCCTCCAGGAAGCCCTCCCCCCATTCCCTTCTGAACTTCTGATTCGGAAGTCCTCACTGTGTTTTAAATTAGACGAGCCAACTCCTCCATGCCCTCCACACATCTGTCCTGGATCCTTTGGCTGTGCCAATTTTTAACTGGGGAAACAGGCCAGAGAGGGCGAGGGACTTCTCAGTGAGCTAAAGGCAGAACTGAAACTGGACCCAGGTGTTCATGAGCACTGTCTGCTCCCCGAGAGAGGCCGATTCCTTCCTGGAGGGCAGGCTCTGGCTGGGGACACCTCAGTCCCCTCTCTCCAACTTGGCTTAGGCCAGCAGGAGTCCCCTTACCTGGACATGACTCTGAGCGGTTGTAGACAGAACAACCTTCCTTGACCACCTCAGCTTGGGCCACACAGTGTCCTGGTGGGAGAAGGTGTAGGGGAGAGATACGGGGAGAGGTGCCAAGGCCCTGGGGTTCAGAACTAGGGGCACTCGATTTGGGGAGGGCCCAACTCCGTACCTGGCTCCTCTGGCCGACACTGCTCCCACACGCAGCCAGAGAGGTTGTGTGCTTTGTGCCCCTCCACACAATGCTCACAGAGCTCGAGCTGTTTGCAGGCCCCTCGGACAGCTGGCCAGATGTTCATGCGGAGCAGGGCTCCCCGCCCAAAGCCTCGAGCTCCTTTACCTGGGCGTAGGAGCAACTCCTTGAAACTGAGCTGCACCCCCCCCTTCCCCATTACTGTGGCTCTCACCCCTTTGCACACATACACTCACCTGGATCCCCTAAGGCCCAATACACACCTGGAGTTTCCACAAACACATGGTTACACACACCCCCAACCTCCCCCACATTCACCCAGAGTCCCTTCCCTTTGCATACACCTGGGGTTCCCTGATAGATGAGGAGCTGACACCTCCAGACACACCTGGGGTCCCCTCCAAACACCTGAAGCCTCTAATCCCCCACACCTGGAGCCTATTACATACGGATGCTCCACACATGGCGAGAACCCCCTTCACCCACCGCTGGAGCCCTGAACTCTCTGGAAAGTCCCCCCCAGCCCCCCGCCCCCCAGCCCAGACCGCTCCAGAAGAGGCGGCTGGATGAAGGTAGGCTCTGCCTGCCCCTGCCCGGGCTGGGCCTCCAAACCAGATCCTGGTCCGCGTTACCGGCGACAGCGAGCTGGGCACACAGGAGAAGGCAGCAGCAGCCGCCGCAGAGCGCGACCCGTAAGGCGCGGGGTCCCGGCGCGGCCATGGGCGGGGCGAGGCCCGGGGGTCGGCGGAGAGCTGGTGTAGTGCGTCCCTCCCCGACTCGGCTCCGCTGGGATGTGGGGAGCGAGACCCAGGCAACCTGGGCGTGGCCAGGTGGGCGTGGTCATTCTGGGGCGGGGCCAGAGGCTCAGCCGGGGTGGGGCCCGGTCGTCGGGGGCGTGGCTAGTGGGCGCGGCGGGGCGGAGCTCGGTTCGGCGATCTGGGGCGGGGCTCGGACAAAAGGGGGCGGGATCCAGGTGTAGTAGCACACCTGGTCCTGGGAGCACCCACCAGCAGCTTCACGAAAACTCCGCTCGGTAGTTAGTATCCCTACTTCACAGGTGAGGAAATTAAGGCTCAGAAAAGGTGAGTGAGTAGGTGGAGGTCACAGTGGCAAAATCTGGATTCCAAGCGAGGTCACTTTCCCGCAGGCCGGGCCTTGTCGAGTGAACCCAACTAGGCCCCACGCCCTTTGGACTGGCTTCAGCTGGCCTCTAGACTGCCCACCTCGCTTCACCCTTTCACCTTACTCTCTTCTGCCCCTCAGCCTCCCACCACACCCTCCGACCAAGTTATTGGTCTCATTATTAGTAGGACAATTGGGGCTTTCCCCAGCCTTCCCTTCGGCCTCAACTGCCCTGGTACCGGCTTCTTCTGGTTCTTTCCCCTCTGGAGCTTCTTCTCGGGTTCCTTAGCACCTCCTCTTTCTCCCCCCCCCTTCACTTCCACTTTCTTTCCCCTTCTCTGTTGCCCCTCCTTTTCCTCCTTCCCCCTCTTCTTCCCTGGTGGCACGATTCCCTCCTGAGACCTATTCCACCTCTCCTGGGGTCATTTTAGCCATTCCTCTGCCATCGGTTCCGATCTGAAAGCCATCAGGTCTCATATCTCCATCTCCTGCTCAGTGCTCCCTCCCCAGCTGCCACCTATAACTAATAATGCATAGTTCATACTATTGACCACTTTTAGCAGAATATACATTCCACTAAGAGCTTTTACTTGCAGCTTCTCATCTAATGTCCACGACTACCCTCTAGGCATGGCTTTTGTTATCCCCAGTTTGTGGGCTTCAGAAGTAAAATCGGGCACCTGGCAGGCTCAGTCAGAAGAGCATGTGGTTCTTTTTTTTTTTTTTTTTACCTTTTTCTGTGTTTTTCTATAGTGGCTGCAACAATTTATATTCCCACCAACAGTGTACAAAGTTTCCCTTTTCTCCACATCCTCACCAGCACTTCCTATTTCTTTTCTTTTTGATAACAGCCATTCTAACAGATGTGAGGTAATATCTCATTGTGGGTTTGATTTGCATTTCCCTGATGATTAGTGATGTTGAGAAACTTTTCATGTACCTATGAGTCATATGTATGTATTCTTTGGAAAAAATGTCTTTTCAGGTCCTTTGCCCATTTGTTAATCAGGTTATTTTTTGCTATTGAGTTATATGAGTTCCTTACACATTTTCTCCATTAATTCCTTACCAGTCATAGGTTTGCAAATATTTTCTCTTATTCTACAGATTGCCTTTTCATTTTGTTGATTGTTTCTTTTGCTGTTTGATGCAGTCCCACTTGTTTATTTTTGCTTTGGGGGCTTAGACTTTCAGTGTCATATCCAAAAAATCATTGCAAACACCAATGTCAAGGAGCTTTTTACCTATGTTTTCTTCTAGGAGTTTTATAGCTTCGGGTCTTACATTTACATTTAAGTGTTTAATCCATTTTGAGTTCATTTTTGAAAGTGGTGTACACCAGGGATCCAATTTCATTCTTTTGCATTTGAATATACAATTTTCCCAACACTATTTATTGAAGAGACACATGCCTGATAATTTCTGATTGGATGTAGAACACTGTAAAGTTAATCTTGCTGAATGCTTGATATGTTTGTATTCTTAAAGATATTCTTGAGTTTATGGTTCCTTGTAAATACTATAATCCCTTCAGGTCTTGTTTTTAAGCTTTATTGGCAGGATCAGAGCAACACAATCTATGTTTAATTTTTTTCCCCACTTTTGTGCAACATCATTCTTAGTCCTCTAACCAATGCCCTGGGAATTATGAGGTTTTGGAAGCAAGGTCTATCATCTGCCCTCTGTGAGCTCTACGGACCATTCCTTCTAATCCTTTTGGGTGGTTTGTTCCTTGGCCTCTCAGTTATTCTCCTCATATGCATGTGACTGTTTCAGTATTCACCTCTGCAGATCACTGTGTTTAACTTTACTGCTTCTTATCCAATATCTTTAGGGCTGCGATTTTATATATTTAGTCTGGTGCTTTAAGTTATTTGTAATGAAGGTCCTCATACTCCAACTGGGCAGGTAGTTCCCATCAATTTTTAAAAACTAGAGGGTTTGGATGCTTTGTTTAAAAAATACTGTCATTTGTGTGTCCCCTTCCATTTCTTCTGTATTTACAGCTTTAGTATCACATATGTTACCAAAGTGCCTATGGTGATTCAGTGAATTACTCAGAATCAGAGGAAGGGAACCTGGGGAGAAGGGCAAAGAGAAGCTCAATATACTTAGTACTTAAAAATCAAAAGTTCAGAATTGAATTTCCCCTCAAATAGGAGGTTCATGTAGGCAAGCCCATGCATTGGAACACGAACTTATTTCTGCCAAATGAGTCATTAACATTTAACTTGAGTAGATTATTATAAACATTGTTCTGAAAAACAAAGTGCTAATACATTATACAAGAATTCAAACAAACAAGAAAAGGAAAGGATAACATCGAAAATGTTGTTTTCATATAATACCTTCTGTTGCCATGCCCCAACTTCCCATCTTCTGCCTCACCCCAAGAGTAAACTTCTCCTTCTGAAGAGAGGGCAAGACAGTGTTTTCCTCCTGAGTTCACAGCTACTTTCTTAATAAACACGTGCTGAATGGATTCAAGTAATGTTGGGGTAGATACCGACTCTGTCCCTCCAATTCCTAGTCTGCCACCTGCACCATATCCAGTGGCATACAGCTAAGACAAGAAAAATATAAATATCAGGTTTTTGTCTAAATTTATCCCTATATTTTAGTAATCAACCAGCTCAATCAGTGCCCTAGACATTTTTACCACAGAGAAATGAAATTAAAAATTAAAAATCACAGGAATGTTTATAACATTTTTTGTGCTTTATTAAAACTCTAAAAATGAAAGAAATAGTTATGACTATTAGAAATCCCAAATTTTTGAAAAGAAGATCTTTTCCCTGGAACAAATCCCTGATAATAACACTCACAGAAAAACTTAAATATATTTAGTACTTCAGCAAGGCAGCATATAAATCACACAGTAGAATACACTATTTTTCTTTCATTCTCGGTGGGAAATTATTTCAGGACACAAGTTTTATCTTTTTTTTTTTTTTTTAAACAGACTGCCTTTTCCAAATGCGTATCAAACATCCCTCCTATAAAAACTTAAATGTTGTTTCATACTGTTTCAAATGCATTGCTGCACTGACACAAGAGTAAGGAAACCTCAAGGACTAAAACAGGAAATGAAACCAAGAACTCGGGTTGATAGATGAGCCCTAAAGCCAGTGTCCCCTGGGAAGGTTTTGAGAATCTTTAGCACACACGGTGTCAGGGGTAAAGTGCCAAAGCCTAAAAGGAGACTAGAAAGGTGAGGCTCCAGTGGGCCAACTGTGAACGAGAACTAAGAAGAAAACAACAAAGCAGGTTCCCTTTCTCAATCTTAGCACTGAATTAGATGGGGGAAATCTCTCCTGAGAATTCATCACCACAAAAGCTTGTCATTAGATTGGTTTTCAGCCTGAATTTATGCTACATTTGGCGTAAATTCCTTAAAGAATTTAATTTACAATGTCTTAGACTGGTAGTACCCCAGGGTTATAAATTCTCTTTTGACGAGTGATTTCAAACTAAGCCTTAAAGAATTTCTACATAAAATCTTCCAAGGAAAATGGTCAGCTCATAGTTGAAAGAAGATACCATCAGTGAGAGTCAGCAGAACAACAGTCCAATATTAAGTTTAGAGAAATAAAGCTGGAAGGTATCCCCAAGGAATAAGAAAGTGCAAAATTACCCAAAGCAGGACTTCCAGGAATTAAAAAGATAGTAACTGAAATAAAAAACCCACACATATTTAACAGCAGATCATAAACAGGTGAAGAAGAGATTACAGAACGAGAAGATGGGTCTGAAGATATTCTCTAGCATACAGCACAGAAACACAAAGAAAAGAAGAAACATGAAAAAGGTGTTAGAGATACAAAAGACAGACCCTTTGACTCAACCATCAATCAGAACTCACAGTTTCAGGTAGAGATCGCACAGAGAATATGAGAGAAGCAACACTGGGAAAAAAAAGTCTAAGAATTTACCAGAGTTATTGAAAATTCACTTCTCAAGAGCCAGAAAGCCCCCCCTCTCCCATCCCTTATCACCTGGCAAAAACAAAGTAAAATAAAAAAGGCAGAAAAAATAAAAATAAAAATAAAAATATATCATAGCAAAACTGTAGCTCACTAAAGAAAGATATTAAAAGCAGCCACAGAGAAAAGATTCATTACCTTCATTTGGGTAAAAATTAGTCTGACCGCTGACATCTCATTAGCAACAATGAAGGCAAAAAACCAGAAAAATTAAGCTTTTAACAGGACGACTGAAAATAAGTCAACTGAAAATTTTATACTCTAGAACAGGGGTTAGCAAATTATGGCCCATGAGCCAAATCAGGCCCTACCATCTACTTTTGTAAATAAAGTTTTATTGGAACACAGACACATACATTCATTTACATATTGTTCACAGGCTGCTTACTGCAACAGAGACCATATGACCCATGTAGCTAAAAATACTATTGTGACCTTTACAGAAAATGTCTGCAACCCTTACTTTAGAAAAAGGACAAAATAAAGACATATTCAAGTAAAAAAAACAATCTGAGGATTAACCAACAAAAGACCCTCACTAAAGAAAACCGAAAATACATGCTTAAAGTAGAAGAAAAATGATTAAAGATGCAAGGTCTGAGACATAAGAAACAATGTGACAAAGATGTATACCACGTTGGGTAAATCTGGAAAAAAAACTTGGGTCTATATATAACAACAACAAAAATAATAACGCCTATCATTCCCTAATGGGTTTGCACCAAAACACAGGATAACAAAAGATCAGTATTTGTATTATTTGGGAGGAGGACAGAAATACTAATTCACTTCAGATTTTACTAATGCATGTTAAAATAACCAGGAAACAACTAAAAGACACAGAATTCTCCAGAGAAGAGAAAGAGAAGGATATACTTCAACTCTTCTTAATGAGACTAGCACAATCTTGATACTCTTGGCAGGCAACTTCTGATGTGGTTCCCAGGGTCCCTGATTCCCACCCTGTGTAATCCCTTCTCCTTGAACATGGGCTACACCTAGTGACTCAATTCTAATGGACAGAACATGGCAACAGGAATGGACTGTCACTTTTGGATTAGGTCACATAAGACTGTGACTTGGTCTTGCTATCACTCTCTCTTGCCCCATCCCCCTTGCTTGTTCTGATGAAGCCAGCTGCACACGTGAGGTGGCAAAGAACTGAAGGCAGCCTCGACCAACCATTCATGAGGAACTGAATCCTCAGTACAGCCTTGAGGCAACTGCAGCCTGGTGAGAGATCCTGGGAGGGAGGATCAAGCTAAGTCACCTCCAGAGTCCTGCCCCAGAGAAACTGCAAGTTAATAAATGTGTACTTAAGTTAATTGTTGTAAGTTAAACAGATAAATAATAGAGTATCAAAACCAAACAAGGAGTGTATAAGACAGGAACATTATAATGATCGCATTCATGATCTTGGAGCTCCCAAAAATCCCAAACAAGATATTCACAAACACAAACCAAAAAATAAAACAAATCTTGACCAAGTTGGGTTTCTCCAAAGAATGCAAGGGGTTTACTATAAGAAAACCAATTAATCCAATTCACTACATGAATCCACTAAAGGAGAATACATAAATAGAAATGGTTTTTTAAATGTAGAAGGAGAAAGAAATTTCCTTAATCTCATACAAAGCATCCACCAAAATCTCATAGTAAGTGTGTGAAATATTCAATCAGCGTTTGCTTTGCAGCCTGGATTAAGACAAGAACAAGCCCACGACTACCAACCCTGCTCAATATTATACCACAACTCCTACCCGGCGCAATGAGCTTCCTTTCCTCCACACAAAAGGAAAAAAAATAAAAGAAATGAACTGAAAAGGAACAAAATTTACAGATGACTCTCTATAAAGACGATACAAGAAATCCTGACATATACAAAGGAAAGAAAAAAGTAGAAGAAGGTCACCAGACATAAAGTCAATATATAAATATCAACCATTTCATCATACTAACAGCAATTAATTTTTTAAAACAGCATTACAATAGCTAACAAAAAAGGAGTACTCTAAGGTATTATTGATATGCAAACAGTACACTTTTTTATGTATGCTGTATTTCAAAATAAAAACTACGAAGTTATAGAACACATTGAAGATCATACAGAAATATTTAGAATGGTGACTGCCTCCAGCACACCATGAGTACTATTAACCTTGAGATAATGTTTCAATATAGAATCCTTATACATACCGTGGACCCAACGATGCACTCTAGCCATAGCAGTCTCTTAGTTTTAATGTCAGTATGACACAGAAAATGTACCCTTACCTTTCCATCAGCTGTCACTGCAAAGAGAGTCTGTTCTCCTCCAATTAGCTGCACAGGCCTGAGAGTTGCAAGGGCTTCGCATGGAGTGGGAACTTTAACTTTTGCACCTTCGATGCCCCCAAGCTGTCCCCTGTGATTATGCCCCCATCCATAAATTGTTCCGCTGCCGCCAGCAGAAAGAGTCCAGTCATCGGGTCTCCTACAACAAACATTAAGTGAAAAACTGACATGGGAAAGAAGTGCACATGAAACACCTTTCTCCAGTATACAACATTATTCTTGGTTCTGATATAATAACCTGTTCATCCACTGCACAAGTTGTTCATCTTGCTCTCTTTTAAAAATGTCGTGGCTTTCATGGAGAACATCCATGTGTTCGCTGTCTGCCATTAACTCCCGAATTTTCTTAGCCACCTAGACAACATTATTATGAGATTATCAATCATTCATCTCTCAAAAATAAAAGAAATAAGATAAAAAAACACAGGAATAATCCCCATCTAATAATCTGAGAGAATGCCAACATCAACATTGTGATATTTATAGTTAATAAGCAAAACTAATATGATTATATCAAGTCTAAGATATTTGAAAATATCTAACATATCTTTATAATACCATTATATCTTTAGTTTACTAAAAATAAACTTTAACTGAAATTCACAGTATCTGTTTATTCATTTTCACCTGTGTGCTTTTTTCTTTATGGTACTCCTTTGTAAGAGAATGTTGCTCTGTCTCATAATATTGGCATCTTTTTATACAACAGCTGAAAAAGGAAAATGTTTTTACATTCCAAAAGTGATTTAAAAATAACATGCAATACCTCATCAAGAAAAAGACGTGGCAATGGTGTTCTTTTGTCCAGGGCCACAGCAACACGGGAGGCCATGCAGTACCTTCGGAACCAAGCCCACTTGTGCGTCTCAGCACAGCAGGGGAGAGTGTCTAGTTCCAGGTCACAAGCAAGAGCTACCAGTACCTGCAGCAACCAAAAATTAGTAACACAAGGAAGCTCAGAAATGCAGCTAACATTCCACTTCTCCAGTACTGCATACTAAAGACAAACACCATTATAGGGTTTCTGTGAGTCCTCATCCAGGAGCTCCTTATTCCAGGCTGACTGCCATGTGCCAAGCAAGTATTTCACCATCACCAGTAATGTGGATTATTCCTACCCAGCCCTTAGTGATGCACCTGACACAAGGACCTCAGATCTGACAACTGCTACAATACTTGCTGCCTAAGTCAAGCATCTCAAAGTACACTAATACTTGGTTAAAGTATTAAGGGCTTAAGTCACATAGTCATTTCTGGACATTTTTCATATTCAACTTCAGCAATACCTGTATCTGGCCTCAAGGGGGCCTGAAATGCAATGCACTACACATGACCACTCTTGGTGGCTCTCCTCATCACTTGAAAGCAAGTCAAGCATTACCTTAAAGAATGGGCTGTGGAGCAGCTGCTTGCCACCTCTTACAATAGGATCTTCATATTCAAACTGCCTTTGCAAAGCTTCTGGAAGGCCTTTTACCAAAGCAGCAAGAGCACTACCTGTAAAACTCTAAAAAAACAACAAAATTATTTCCTTTGGATAGCAAAGCAATCCAAAATGTAGGGGAAGTAGGTGTTTTGTTTCTATGAGTCAAATGTTTTGTTTTGTTGGTACTATTTGCCCTAAAAAAAGGTGTGTTGGTATTTTTCAAATAGGTTTGATGAACACTAAAATTAAAAATAAAAGCTTGAAAATTCACCTCAGAATGCTTGGTCTTGATTTCAGTATAGCCACTTGCAGGGAACCAGTCCCTTTCCAGCTCACAAAGTCCCATCTCCTAAGATGGTTAAGATCAAGCATCCTTTCAACAGTAACTACCTCATACAGCAAAAACAAAGGGATGTTGTGAGCCAGACTTGTTGCAAAGTCTAACAGACACAATCCTATGCTCACAGCCATTGACACGTCTCTGTCTCCAAAAATCACAAGCCAGTCTGCACTCAGTATATGGAGCAACATAAAGGGGTCTGGATGGGACAAAGGTGGCCTTATTCTTACGTAGAATTTCTCAACTCTTCTCAGTGATTTAAAAGTTTAAATTATTTAAGCAACATTTTATTCCCAAAGGTCAAACATCTAGAAACTAATTTAACGTTCCATACCAAAGCTCTTGCTTCCCCATCGTTATCTCCAAGTAGCCTGTTTATGTTAATTGATTGCCCAAATTCAGTTGTGAGCAGTTTCCTCAGTCTTTGAAGGGCCCACATTCTGTGACTGGCAGCTAAAATGAGCAGACAGAACGTATCAGAAGCTTGGCCATTTTTCCCACCAAGTACAACAGACAAGATAATCAAGGTGCTATTTACCTAAGGCACTCAGCTGTGCACAGGCTGCCAGCGACGCTGCGAGGCGAGGGACAATGCTTCTGTTTGAGGTGAGGTTGAGGCGGAAGTCTAACAGACATGTCACCAAGTCCATGGATGGACAGGAGAGCACGCAGCGATCGGAAAGGAGGTCTTTAGGGCCTGAGAAATGAGCGCTGTAAATGTCCCTGTGTTGAACAGGATGAGGGCTATCCCATAAGGAGACCTACACAAATCTGACCCAGTGGACCTTGTCTACCCGGACGCTGTGGTTACAGAGCTGCCCATGGTCCTGCCACTGTCTGTGTCACAACTACACTCTGTACACTGACATTTTATCTGAAAATCAAACAGCTTAAGAAGTGCAACCAGCAGGGTGCTGGGGTGGCTCAGTCAGTTAAGTGTCTGCCTTCGGCTCAGGTCATGATCCCAGGCCTGGGTAGAACCCTGTGTTGGGCTCTCTGCTAGCAGGGAGTCTATTTGTCCCTCTCCCACTTCCCCAGCCCCTACTCTTGCTCTCTTTCTCTCTCTCAAATAAACAAATAAAATCTTTAAAACAAACAAACAAACAAAAGAAGTGCAACCAGCAATAACTCCTTTCCCATTAGGTGATGGACTGCTAACATCCTAACCACTAGACTGCTGAGGTGGCTCTTTGGCAGTTCTGATCATCACTGCAGTGGGGCCTTGGGCAGGGCTGGCTCCCAACACATCAGGAGAAGGCAGACTATGAAGTACTAAATGAAAATGGTTTGTGTGTCCACCTTGCTTGAGTCATCAGGACTTGAATGCTGCCAGGTCCCCCACTTACCTGCAGCTGGCATGATGGGATAGACTGTGAAGCGCCAGCCCCACCCATTCACAGACCCATCACTGATGAACTTCCACTTCAACTCATCCCCTGGGATGCGCAGCTCACTGGACCAGTCAGACCATTCTCGGCCTAGTAGAGAAAAGTAGGCCCTGGGGTTGGGTTCTCTCCATCATGTGATCAACACAAACTTCTTTAGATACAAAGCAAAATCATCTACACTGTATCTGAAGAACAGCTGGCTCCTCCAACCCAAGTTCTCCCAAATTTGAGTTCATACTACTCCTAGTGAGTAACATTTAATACATACTGTACTTCATACACACTATACCAAATACTAGGGAAACTGCGGACAGGTAGGCACTGCCTGATGGAAACACACATACATAACTACAACATGGTGTGAGAGGACAGCAAAGTCAGCCAGCACACACACCAGGTCAAGGACTTATAGGGAAGTTTCCAGGGGAAGGTCTTATAGGATGGCAGTTCCCCAGGAAACAGGATAAAGAGCCCCAGCTTTCCCCGGAGAGGGTACAATTTTATAAAAAACCTTAGCCCAGCCCTCACTGAATCAATTATCAACTGAGTCCCTGTAGGCAGCTTTCTCATACATCAACCTCTACCTTGCACAAGCCTGGTACTGCCACATGTCTTACAGCACCATCTCTAACTATCTGGGTGAAACTGGGCTTCCCAGACTGCCTGTGTCCCAAGGACCCAACAGGAAACCTGTAATCCCACCCATCACTGGTGAGGTGCAGAAACAACTAGTGTAATTATCTTACTGAAAGTATTAGAAAGAGGCAGATAAAACCTACTGTATTTTGCAGCAAAATAGCTTATTGTCCCATCCTTAAGTGTCACATAAGAATGAAGCAGTAGCATTCTGTTTAGTAAGTTAACAGTTCTATTTTATAAAGGCAAGCAGACAGCGTCCTGCTCAACCCTCCTTCACACCTGACCGCACGGAGACAATCCTGTTGACACCGTCCATGACTGTGAGAGGGTCGTGGCGCCTCTCTGTAGAGCACTGCCGGTCAAACTCCACCCTGAGTCCTTCTGCCCCTGGAGGTCAAATGAGCACAAAACACAGTGTTTACTCCCAACTGACGTACCACAGCCAAGACCATAAGCCACAACACACCACACAGAAAACAGTGAGACTAAAATGATGTTTAACAGCTAATGAAAAGCAGAAAGGCAGAAAGAACTGACCTCAAAGACAAGAATCTAAGACTAACTGCCCCTTTCCCCTCACCCTGTCTCCCACAGAAGACTTCAACAGTGATGGAAAGGCCAAGAAGAAACTTTTGCTTGGCTAATTCATTTTATGCTCTCACTTCTGGGCAAATTTTCATTGGCAGACCAAGCTTTATTATCCCCCCCCCCACACACACACATTTAAAATGCCATTTGAAATATTCATCAAACGTTTAAGCTTCAATCTAGAGTCTTCTTTGGACAAATTAGCTTACAAAAGAATTAATGAAGGGCAGGACCTAGGTTATGGTAGAAAGAAGAGGTTAGCAAATCCTTCTTTCAAAGCAGCTATAAAAAACCACACAAAATTATAAAAGACAATGATCCCAGGGCTCTGAAAATAAAGGCAAACAACTAATTGAGAAGTGTTTATGAAAAAAACTGCCAAACATGGGTAGGGACAGTGAGTGTCTATGGTGTTCTTGCCTGGGTATGGTTTTTTTTTTTAATTTTTTATTGTTATGTTAATCACCATACATTACATCATTAGTTTTTGATATAGTGTTCCATGATTCATTGTTTGTGTATAACACCCAGTGCCCCATGCAGAACTTGCCCTCTTTAATACCCATCACCAGGCTAACCCATCTTCCCACCCCCTCCCCTCTAGAACCCTTAGTTTGTTTTTCAGAGTCCATTGTCTCTCATGGTTCGTCTCCCCCTCTGATTTCCCCCCCTTCATTCTTCCCCTCCTGCTATCTTCTTCTTTTTTTTTT